AGTCAAAATGCGTTAGTGTCCCGTGATAATAAAGGATTTTGACTTTAAAGTCAGTTGTCCACTCTCCCTCTTATCTGAATATTTTATTTGTTTTTAGTGTTGCCAGCAAACTGTACAAACGTATCTATTTTCTTAGTAACTTTTGACCCAATCATATCATATAATTTCCTCAAAGTTCCTCTTAGACACTACTTGACACACCTTGGTCAGGTTGTGCTTTGTGATGCTGAGGTTGGTTAAAGCAGTATCTCCCGGTGCTGCTTTTCCTACGAGGCGACTGTCAGCAAACTGCCACGACTGCAGCCAGACATTTGACGACATTTGACGTTTCACAATTCTACTACAGGTAGTAGCCTCCAAATTGAGCTCTATGGGTTGACATTCCATGATGATGCCCAACCCTTTGATCTTCCCATCCTCTGCAAACACAATCAATGTCGCGGATTACAGGACGCACATGTTAATGTTATGTTCTCGCAGCTCTTTACTTACAAAACTATACGTTACGCGCTCCTTGTAGACTTGTGCTGTGAAATGTTGTCCAAGTTCAAGTGTTTCCCTTTGGCCCATGCAGCCTGGAACACTCGCTGGCTTTCCGCTTTCAGCTGGAAGGATGGACCTGGATGAATGGATGCCATATATCCTCCAACTCTCGCCTCTCAGCAAGAAGGTCCTGAGTTCGAATCGCGGTAGGTACAGGGTCTTTATGAGTGGAGTTTGCATTTTCTCCCTGTGCTTGCGTAGGTTTCCTCCGGGTACTCCGGTTTCTCCTACCACTGAAAACATGCTCACTAGGTAAAATCCTCCAGCTCTGGTAGTCCTGACCAAGCCAAGCATCAACATCTGGAGATGGGTTCCCGGGTGCTATTACTACGGCGACCACTGCTCCTGACATAAGCCTTCGCCGCATCAGGGTGGGTCAAATGCAGAGGATTGAATTGCCCTACGGGGGTTAATAAAGTGCACCTTTAGTAAGTAAGTAGTAAGTAATCTTTATTTATATACCGCCTTTTCACTGCAGATCTGAGTCTCAAAGCGGTTTACAATTGTTAATTTTTGGGCATTTGTCTCTCACTCCACACAGAGATGGGAGCGGGGTCAGAACAGGAGGCGCATGCCAGAACTATTGGACATATTTTTAGTGGTAGGGGAAACCGGAGTACCCGGAGGAAACCTACGCAGACCTTTACCTTTATTCCCCAGAGCAGGTCGATGTGCTCTTTCTCTGTGAGCACTACACCCATCTTTTCATTCAGAGGGTTCTTGATAAAGTCCACCGGATTGTTCCCGTCAGCCTTCTCTGGAACAGAATAAACCATCAGATTGTTCTTTCTGAAGCTGCTTTCGATGTCATCGCACTTCTCCTCCGGCTGCTTTTGTTTGCGCAAAACTTAGACGAGCACTTTAGTCATTTAAATTTTGCGGTATTCATTTTCTGCCATCCTTTCCTCCGCAGCAACTATTTGTGCTTTTAGCTGCTTCATATCCTTTTATTTCCTTGATTTCCAAAGCTTTTTTGAGGTTTCACGCTTTATCAACAAGGGTTTGAGCTTTGACATCTTTACCTTCTCTTGTTGTGAGAAGTTTGAGTAATGGTCATTTCGAACCAGGAATTGTCCTCAAAATACAGTTTTCAGCTGATTTATCCGACACTTCACATTAGCCATCAGCCGTCCTTTCACATGACTCATTCGTTTCACAGATCTAACTCGGAAACTAACACTTACAACATAAATGTGTCACTGTGCATGTATTTTTTATCGGGTCACTAGTCCATCGCTCTGACACCAAACAGAGCTAATTCATGTTGCTCTCGTGTTGGCTTCTGCTTCTGCTTCTTACCTTGATATAATTAATTGAAATAATCAAACCGAATCCATCTTTTGTGCATTTCATAAAAATAAGATCAGATAAAGTAACCAATCTACAGCGCTGCAGGTGGCGTTGCGCTTTGTCCAAGAACGCTGCATAGAAAGTCTCCCGAAAGTTCAGGTGTGTGTGTGTGTGTGTGTGTGTGTGTGTGTGTGTGTGTGTGTGTGTGTGTGTGTGTGTGTGTGTGTGTGTGTGTGTGTGTGTGTGTGTGCGTGCGTGCATGCTATGAGAAAGAGGAGTTCTCAGATTCAGGACAAATTGACTTGATCTGTGACCACCACTTTCCCAGAGAAGGAAGTTTTTGTCAAGCCTATGACTTGTGTCGACAGTAAAACAGTAAAAAGTGTTACAATTCCAGTACAATACTGCATCAAACATCAGTAAGCAGCAAATAATGCTCATCCACTTTGTGAAACTGAGAGTAAACAACGTTTGCTGAGTCAACAAGCTGTAGATCAATGACATCATTGTGTGTATTTACATTCAGTCCTTTAACAACAAGAGCGGCTCAGTGGCGTGTCTGGGTCACCGGATCCTACGAAGACATCAAACCAGGAGAGCAGTGGCAGAGTGAGCACTGTTTCCAGCAGTCTCTTCTGTTGATGTCCTTTCAGGTCTCCTGCTCTCCTCTGGTCCCCTGCTCTCCATCGATCCCTCTGATAACTTACTCGGACCAGCCTCAATAGGGCGCATCAGAGCGTTCTCTTTGCCAAAAAAGATGGTTACCACACGGTGGAAGCCCCCTCACTCAGAGACTTGTGAAGTATCACCAGCGAGGGCACATGTACGACAGAGAGCACCATCAACAAGTGGAACAGTATGTTACTCTATCTCATAATTCAATTTAATTTCTGTCTTCTTCAGTGCAGATATTTTGAATTGGTTTCTGGGCATTTGTGTTTCATGTTTGTGAACATAAAAAGACAAACAGGTCATCCACATGCTACAGCAATAATACTTCACTCACAGTCTATGTCAGTGTAAGGAAATAAAAGCAATGTGCCTACATACAAACAGTCCACAGTCAACAAAACAAAACATTCCTCAGAGAACCACAACAGCCCGAGGTCCGCCTCCAAAATTGAAGCTTTTGGCTCAGGGAGGATTCAGAACTCCAGGCCTGATCTTTGACCATTTGAAATGACTGGATCTGTCAGTTATAACTCAATTAATTACACAGCTTTATCCACTGCACGATATTACTCCCATGCAGGCAGCCCCTTTCACCAGACAGTCCTTGTTAGCCCGTGTTTGCTGTGCCAATAATAAAGATTTCTTTGGACGGGGCCACTTTTAGATTTGTCGAAAATTGCATTGAGCCAGCGGCAGCCTGTGGGTCTAAATGTTTAATTAGGAAGGCTTGGAGGAGCGGATCAATCACGCGGCGTGCAAGGCGGCCTAATAGAGCGCGCATGTGTGAGGCTGCCTGCTATGCCCTTTACATTAACAGCATGGCATTTGTGTGGCTCTGTGATGTGATCTCAGCCGCAGCTGTGGAAATGTAGGATTAGGAACGCAGACTGATGGTCTGGAGATTGTTGACTTACACTGTCCTACATGAATGCTCTGGTCTGGTCCGGTTTACAACAATGGCTCCTAATGCACTTAGTAGGATGGTCTTTATACAGAACCTTCGTAAAAACAATATTTTGTCATGTCATAAAAACAGTTTTTATTTGGGATTTTATACTCTAAGACCACAACAAAGTTCAAGACAACTGTGACCTGAAAGCAAAATGATACATGAACTAAAATGAAAGACTGACAACCACAGAAGAGTGCTCACGTCAATCACAATTTAGCGGTCAACCACGAAGACAGGATGAGGAGCTTGCCAGTTTTATTGTAACAAAAGTACAATTTGAGTAACGAAAGTACAATTTGAGTAACGAAAGTATGAGTAACGAAAGTATGAGTAACGAAAGTACAATTTAAGTAACGTAGTAGTATAACGCGTTATTATGACAATACTCATAATTATATAACAGTTACTTCCTTATTTCCAGGGGGTGACAGTAGCTCAGTTGGTAGAGCGTTGGCCTTTGAGCCTGGAGGTCGTTGTGTCCTTGGGCAAGACACTTAACCCCATGTTGCCTGAAGCCTCCGCTGAAACACCAAGGTTGCTTCATCGCTGATGGAGCAGCCATCTTCCTGTGGAACACCACCTGCAGAGGATCAGTGAGGGACTGGTGCTATGAGCTTTGGGTGCCACCTCCCCCTGACCCAGAAATGGATTAAGGGGAAGAAAATGGAAAAAGTGGATGGATGGAATACTTCCTTAATAGTTTAGTAGTCTATGGTCCACACTACAGTCTACACTGTAAGAAATGATTCTGTGGTCATGTAGATTTGAATTAATGTATAAGGTAAAATATATTCAATATAATTGTGTTTTTGATTTTCAAGCAAACATTTAATTACATTTCATATAAACATTTTCTGAATAAAATCCACCCATATTATTTAAATACATATTAAGCAATATGTTTATCTAATTCCAAACAGACAGAATATTGAGTGAATTCAAATTAATATAATCAGGCAAATTTGAATGGGCAAGCACTTCCAGGTCAAAGTGCACATTATATTTTTGTAACTGACGCTGCAGGCTATCATCGCGCCACAAGACATTTGAAGAGAGTTGCAGACTTTGATTGATCTGGATTACTAAGGTAAGAAAACGTATTCTATGATGGGCTTGTGAGAAGAAAGCATGTAGTGGTAAATGACAATGAGGCGAGCTATAATAGAAAAAGAGACTCAGTAGCAACAGAAAGTTGGCTTCTGTTGGAAAGGCTATTTGATGTATTAGCGTGATGTTGCTGCCCAAAATATGAAAAAGGCATTGCACATTTTTAAAGAATTTATGGTTCGAAGACAAACAATTATTTTGAAGGAGCATTTCCGCTATGGCGTTCCCTACATGCCTCGCGTGTTGATATCGCCAGTATGTTTTCTTGAAATTACGTAAATGGGTTAAATAAGAACATTGGGTTTAATGATAAAGTTCTGACACACAAATAGTGTGGGTTGTCGTTTGAAGTATAACGAGTATCTCTTATTTTGAAATGTACTTTCGTTTACTTCCTGCATGGAGTTTAGGCGGGTAACTTCTCTGTTGTTGCAAATACGAAGGTAACTCACTTAAACACACGTGAAATCAGTCTGTTAACAACGTTACGTTTTAGATCAGCAACTTTATTTCTTTTCATGCATAGGCCAAAGTTTCTTTATTTATTTAAGTGCGGTAATGCCCGGTCCACAGCGGCTAGGACTTAACTTTAGCGGACGGAGGCACAAACGTTCTCCTTCTACAGCTAAACGCCACACGGAAGAGTTTTCTGGTAACATTTTAGTGACAGAATACTGTTTCATATATTAGCGGTGTTCGGTATAATTGTTCTCATATCTAACCCTAAAGATAAGATAAGATAAGCTTTATTCATCTCACAGAGGAGACATTTAAATTTAAAACATGTGTGTTTTCCTTAGGTGCCGCCCAATGAGATGGCAGTGTAAAGTCTGGATTCAGAGCAACAACAAAAGGTGATCTTCTACAGCATTATAGACTACAGCACAGGACGTTTGAAATTGGAAATTCGGTACCTTGTCTTGATTTTGATTGTCCATGAAAATCTTGGAAATCTGCTGGAAAATTATTTCAAGTAAAGAGTCGGAACCCTGTTTATAAATAAGGACAGAACTGATGGGCATGAACAAAACCTCAACTACACGATCCAGATGTACAAAAACAGATTTTTGTACATCTAGTGTTGATGTTTCTAAATGACAGAAACCAATGATTTTTAATCACATTTTATTTACTGACTTAATAGTAGTTGTATTCCTCCCCAGGACACAGTGCACTCTTCAGTTGAGAGGACCAGAGAGGTTGTCCTTTGGTGTCTTATGGAATACCTTGGAGAACAAGGGGACCATCTCATCAAAGAATTCAACGTATGTGAACTTAATTTGCATTAATTTATTTTAAGCACCGTAATTCCTTAATTCCTCAAGTGGGTGCTGTTAAGTAGATTGACACAGGTCTGTCATTGTTGTTGTTTTTTTGTAGTATCTTTTTTTTAACAGCTTCAGTGCTCCCTGTCATAGATTCTCCCATCTCTGAACTCAACTGAAAGGATGAACCGAGAGTAGGGATGGGTATCATTAAGGATTTATCGATAGTACTACTCTTATCGATACTCCTTATCAATCCGGTACTTTAACGGTACTCTTATCGGTTCTTTAAAAGGACAAAAAAGTTAGATAGAGGCTATTGTATAAGTAGGCATTAATCCTTGGCCTATATTTATTTTTTATTAGTCTACATTTTATTTCCAATTTGCGCGTACACTTGGGAGTTAAAATTGGCTACTTCACGTACTTTACAATTATTTTACATTGTTATTATTATTAGTAGTAAATCAAGGCTGTTGGTTAGATTTGGCTGTAGCTTTGGGGACCGAGTCCAAATGAAAAATAATTAACTAGACTCGAGTCACTTCCTGTGTGTGTGCACGTACACACTGCCGTGTGCGCAGTTTGTGGAAAAACAGACCACCCGAAACTGTAAAGTTCGAGTATTTGTGAAAGAAGAAAAGTGCACGTGGCTCGTCTGTTCAGTACGAAGTCGTTATGTGTGGCTTTTTAGCGCGGGTTAGCGGCAGTTGCTCGGGGGGGTTTCTGAGTAGATGAAGCACGTTTTGAATGTCTAACACAGCGTGTCTTTCCCGCGCGTACCTGTCTCGCTGCAGAGGGGAAACAGGGCAGTGGCAGAGCGCGGGGAAGGGTCGACACCATGCGCTCTCGTGCAGGGTAGCGGGGTTGAACAGATCCGATGCAACGAACGCATCCATGAGAGCGAAGAGAGACTTTTTAAAAATTATTATTTGAGCGCGTGTGATTAGTGCAGCAATGCAGCGGCCCCGTTTAGAAGACCGTTAAGGTTAGAGCTTATCGGTCCAGGTGGACCGGCACACCCCTCATGACAATGAAAGAACAATTTGAGACCAAGGCCCATTGGAAAATAAAATTTAATAAAATAGATGTAAAAGCTATGAAAACAATAATGAATGTAGTGTCTACTATTTTTGTTCTGACCGTTTTTTTATAATAAGACACTTACAATTTCATGTTGCAGGACACTGAGAACTGACACTGTGACCTCAACGCCTGGAGCTTCTGCAAACGACAGGCCCAAGAACGTTGGAATTGTCATAGAGGGTGTGGAAGTCATCACAGGACTTGGAGATATTGCACGGGCTTGCTCTGTCCTCCTTGGCTTGACCTATGCGTTGAATCTGTTATCCCACACAGCTGAAGTACACATTTGAGGTATTCCAAAAACTTTTCTTGGAACTGGATGATTCAAAGTTGTCAAACAAAGTCCAGTCCCTCAAGAGCAAAATTCTGGCTTGAAATGAGACTGTAGTTGCAACATAAACTTTTGTTCTACACAATGTTCACCTTCTACAGAGCTTGAGAAATGCATATTTGGAAGTGCTATGTTTGTGAGTTTGCACTGATTTGGACTTTGTCCCACAAAGGTCAATTACATTCCAAATGTTATTTCAAAGAACATTTATTTATTTTTATTTTTTATTTCTACCGTGTACAAATGGCACTTAAGTAATTTATGTAAAGTAAAGTTCTGGTTTGAAATGTGTGAGCAGACTTCTAGTTGGAACATGAGACTACAGAGCTAGGAAAATGCACATTTCAAAGTGTTATGTTTGTGAGTTTGCACTGATTTGGTTACGTTTCATAGGTCAAAGAACCTATTCCTATTTTGTACAAATTGCACTTATGATTTTATGTTTTGGCACATGCATACTGCTTCTACTGGCTGCTGCTGCTGCTTGAGATGCCTCGGATAACCGCATCCGGTTGTTAATTGTTAATAAAATGCTAATGTGAGTATTAATTGAGTTCTGTACTTTATGGGCAATGTACTAGTTATTCTTAAATGTATTTAGATTTAATTCATTGCATTGATTGAATTCAAATCAATGCACATATTAGTAATACATTATTATTACTCAATTATATACAATTGATAGGTAGAATTTAATTAATTTTTATTAGTACTATTTGCACATTATAGGGAGTTCATATTCTTCAAATTAACTCAATATTTTTGTTTAGTTTTAATTAATTCTGCTCTCTCTTCCTATTTGAATCTACTCATATTAAATAGATACATTTTAAGTGTCTTATTTAATTAGTATTTACTCAATTCTAAACAATGTAAAATCTAATTAAAACAATTGCTTGTAATCTGTTGCCTCATTTTTATTGAGTAGATATGGTTTTTCTTACAGTGTATGGTCCACACTACAGTCTATGGTCCACACTACAGTCTAAGGTCTTCCAAATATAAGCACTGCAGGTACTGTAGTAGCCTATAGCTAACACCAGTCTAAATATCACATGTGAACATGTAGTGAACTATTCTTTCATTTTCTCAAAGAAGAGGTGTGGCTTAGGATTGTGTAGCATGGGGCTGAATGCATCTGAATGACAGATACTTTATTGATCCCTGAAAGAGAAATGCAGGTGTCCAGCAGCAGAAACACATCCGCCCACACTAACACATAAATACATCAATTATAAACATTTGTTGCTAACTAACAATAGTGCACACGTTCAATGCTGACAGATCTGTTGTACAGTCTTATATCCAATGTGTCTGAACATATGCACCAATCAGACCAATTCAGATATACATCGAGAAAGGAAGAAAAAACAAATGATATCTACACAATGGACAGAACCTGGAGCCACGATATTGATTGATATTGATATTTATTTCACCTGTATTTCCTCTGGATCCAGAGCAGAGAGAGGACAGACGGAGGAGATGGAGCCAGAGTCTCTGGTGAGACGGACTGCACGTGTGTGGTTCTGATTGTTGCTAAACGTAGCCGCCGGATACTTCTCTGTAAGGATTGTATAGATGTGATTGATTGAATGTGAAGTACAGTTTGATTACAGTGAGATATATAGTGGGACTGTACCCTAAAGGACCCTAACCTGGTGCCTCCTCCTTCTCCTCCCTCCAACTCCTGGTGCCTTCGCTCATCCTCGTCACCATTGGTCGCAGAGCTTTCGGCTGCTCTGCTCCCCGGCTCTGGAGAATCCTTCCCCTGCCCCCTGTGTCCCTCTCCCACACTTAAAACACACCCATTCAGACTGGCCTCCTCACTGTGGCCTTACATTCTACTGTGCATGTTTAACTGTTTTTGATTTTATACAACTTTTCACCCCCACTCCTTGAGGCTTACGTTACTCACATTTCCTGTTCAAATCTCCCTCCAAATGGGCGTAGCCTGGAGGACTAAAGGGGATAGGTGGGGGGGTGAATGTTGGGCGGGTCTAGGCTGTGATTGACAGTTGACAATAAAAGCAATAGTGACTAAAACTACAGTATTCAACAACAATGCTATTAACACTACACAATTATCAATAATACAAACAGCAAACCTGACAATCGATAAATACTCTCTGCTATTCCTTCCTTCCTTCGCAAGGGGCCGTTCACGCTCACTGGCCGGCGGGGCTGACGTCAAGTATCACTGCTGCGCCAATGATTCAAAATTCAAATGTAGTATATACAGGTCGCCTGCAGATGGCGCCTCACAGACGGTTTTAGGCAGAAAGTTGATCTTTCAACCAATTTGCACTAAAGTGACAAGGGTGGGTGAGTTGTCTTTAACTGTTTTCGCTTTTAACTTCGTACCTTTTGTTAGGCAACCTTGAGTGCCCAGAATTGAGCCGTAAAAACATAATGTATTATTATTATTATTATGACTTAATGGCAGTCTAAAGCATGTTCTGTGTTCTTCAGAGCTGTTGCCTTGACGCTGTTTTCTCTTCGACAGAGATCACATGGAGCAGACCTTTGCGGCTCTACAGAAAGTGCTTTTGTCCATGGCGGAGGCTGCGCTGGCGTGTGGATGGGCGTCTGGGGAGGCCGGCCTGACCGCGGCGGCCCTAGGGAAGCGTGCGGGTAAATGGAAGAGAAAGTGGAGCTGAGTGCAGAGCGTAGGGTCATTAAAAGCAGGAAGACACATGGGCTCTAGGGGCCCCTACGGCAGCCGGCGGGGGTTAATCTTCTCTGTCAATATGTGGTCAGCGGCGAACAGTCCCCGCGGGGCTCAGCTCTCACATCGCTGACGAACAGTGAGTCCATGTTTCACACACAGCTGCTTGAGCGGCTTCAGACGGAGAGGAAGAGTGAATGTGATTAATAAAAGCAGGGCCGGAGTGAGGGAGATTTTCAGCTCCAGACTCTCAACAAGTGTAACAATAACGGCCTGTCTTACAGCTGTGACATCAATCATCCAGTAGAGGTTCTCAGCAGAGACTATACACTCCAATACTAATGATAATATGAATTATGTTGATAATAATAACAAGAGTAATGCATCAGTTTTACATAGTGCACTGAATGATATGGATCAGTATAAATAAACAGGCACTTGACTCCAAAAGGATGACTGTCAATCGAGTCAAGAGCGACGATGAATCTATGTTCCCGTATGTTTGGAATATCGGCAAGACTTTAAATGGATTTCTGCGAGATCAAGAAAGCGTACTTGATTTGGATTCTATGCACCGAAGTGGACCTGGCTCCGGAGTTTATGACTTTTTATTTTTTTTTTGGCTGGAAGTTTTGGTTATTTTTTCCTTTAGTATATTCAATTTTGGAGTTATTGACAAAGAGGACTCGGAACAGTGCGTGGAACTGGACGAAATATCATCAAAGAAATCAGGTGAACTCACAGAGGGTATATCAACACTTCTGTCTCATCAAAATATAACATGACTCATATGGAACATGATTTAAACCCAGAAATGCAATTTTATGACGATTTAAACATTAGCTGTGAGTATTTCACAGAAGAGCAGTTCAAAAGTAAGGTTGACATGGATGAACATTTATCAATTATACATATAAATTGCAGGAGCATTTGGAAAAACTTTGACAAAATAAAGGAACTATTGCAATCACTCTCCAAATTTAGTATTATTGCCGTATCTGAAACTTGGCTGGATGAAAATAAAATCACAGAAGTGCAAATGGAAGGGTATGAGCTGGTCACAGTAAATAGACACAGTAAAAGGGGTGGCGGGGTTGGTTTGTATGTGGATTCAGCTTTGCATTACAAATGTATTGAAAACAAATCAATTGCAATACAGGATCTATTTGAATGTGTAACAGTTGAAATTGAGTCTAAAAACTCCAGAAATGTACTTGTTACTTGTGTATACAGAACCCCAGGATCCTCCATACATCTATTTAATGAAAAAATGAATGAAGTGGTAAACTTAAACTTTGCGAAAGAACAAATAGTATGTGGTGATTTTAACATTGATCTACTAAATGTCACAGCTCACAGTAAAACTGCAGACTTCTGTAACATGATGTACAGCAACATGCTGGTTCCAATCATAAATAAGCCTAGCAGGATTACAGTGGATACAACTACATTGATTGACAATATATTTTCAAATAAAATTGAGAATAAAATAGTTGGTGGCCTTCTGATTAGTGATGTAAGCGACCCCCTCCCTGTTTTTGCTGTCTTCCACAATCGTTTAAAAATAAAAAATGAAAATGAATCAAAGTATAAACTCATAAGACACCAGACAACCCAGTCACTACAACATTTTCAACAGGATTTGGGAAAAGAAAACTGGAATCACGTATATTCTAAAGATGATCCTAGTGAGGCATATAAATCGTTCCTGCAAAAATATGTGGAACTATTCAATCAAAACTTTCCATTACAAAGAGTAAAGGATAGATCCAAACCTAAAAATAAACCATGGATGACCAAGGGATTAGAAAGAGCTTGTAAGAAGAAGAACCAATTGTACAAAACATTTGTAAAAAATAGAACAGTAGATGCTGAAAGAGAATATAAAAAGTACAAAAATAAATTAGTAAATATTATGAGAAATAGAAAAATTGAGTACTTTCAAACCCAATTAGAAGCACAAAAACAAAATATAAAAGGTACATGGAGTGTGATAAATAGAATCATAAAGGAAGGACGAAAAAAGTCAGAAATCCCAAATTACATGAAAAAGGAAAATACCAAATTAGAATCCCTAAATGAAATAGTTGATGAATTCAACAAATATTTTGCAAATGTGGGCTCCAATCTTGCAAAAGACATTGACAATAAAGGAATAAATATAAACCCCAGTGAGGCCGTTCAAACTAATATGAATTCCTTCTACCTTAATCCTACAAATGAAAAAGAAGTAGTACAAATTGTAAACAAATTTAAAGAAAAAACGTCTAAAGACATAAATGATATAGACATGAAATTAATAAAAAACACAATTATACCCATTGCACAGCCCCTAACATATATATGTAATCAGTCGTTTAAAAAAGGAATATTCCCAGATGATATGAAAATTGCTAGAGTTATTCCGATATTCAAAACTGGTGATAAGCACTCGTTCTCAAACTATAGACCTATTTCTGTGCTTTCCCAATTTTCAAAAATAATCGAGAAGGTGTTTGTTCAAAGACTTGATCAGTACTTAGAAAAATATGAACTACTGAGCGATCACCAATATGGGTTCAGAAAGAACCGCTCCACTGCAATGGCTGTTATGGATTTAACAGAAAACATTTCCAAAGCAATTGATGACAAACAATACAGTGTTGGGGTATTTATTGACCTGAAGAAGGCTTTTGATACCCTAGATCACAACATCCTATTACAAAAACTAAGAAAATACGGATTTAGAGGACCAGTGCATACATGGCTACAGAGCTATTTAGAAAATAGGCACCAGTACGTACAAATAAATGATACAAAATCAGAAATGGTTGAAATAACTTATGGAATTCCACAGGGATCCATTCTAGGACCTAAATTATTTATTATCTACATTAATGATTTGTGCAATGTGTCGGTAAAGTTGAATTGTGTCCTATTTGCGGATGACACCCCCTTGTACAGCTCTGGTCATGATTTAAATCAGCTTGTGGAAATGATGGAAAGAGAGTTGCACAAATTTTAAATGTGGTTTGATATTAATAAATTATCTTTAAACATTAAAAAAACGAAATACATGATATTTTCAAATCGTAAAATTGACAATCGAGTAAGCTTAACGCTGAACAATATGCCATTAGAACGAGTAAATGAAAATACATTTTTAGGAGTAACCATTGATGAGGATTTAAATTGGAAATCACACATAAATTATATCAAAATTAAATTATCTAAAACAATAGCAATATTATATAAATCTAGACATAATCTAAATAAAGAGAGTTTACTTATTATATACAACTCACTAATAATGCCATATATAACTTACTGTATAGAGATTTGGGGAAATACCTATAAAACAAACACCAAACCCATCGCTATTCTGCAAAAAAAGGCAATAAGGCTCATCACATTCTCGAATTACAACCAGTCAACTCATCCTTTATTTACAAACCTTAAAACATTGAAATTGTATGACCTTGTAGAGTTATATACTCAAAAAATCATGTTTAGAGTTAAAAACAAACTTTTGTCCCAAACGCTGCTAAATATTTTTGACATAAGACAAAGCCATTATGAGCTCCGAGGAGGAGAAGTTTTCAATAAAAAATATTTTAGAACAGATACAATGGGTTCCTGCATTTCTATTAAAGGGGTCGACCTCTGGAATAACTGCACAGAGGAACTCAAACAGTGCACCTCTCTCTTTCATTTTAAAAGATTATATAAAAATAAGACTCTTGTCAGATACTTGAAATTTGTCCAATAATTTTCTGTTTCTGTATCTCCTTAATGGATAAACGGCCTGATGTTTTTTTCTTTTTCTTTTTTACTTTCTTTTTGTATTTCCAATGAGGAAAAACACAAAGGCACATGTTGTGTTGTAAAGGCAGGCATTATAAGCTTATGCTTCAGCCGACGCCTTTTCGGTCAGTGTAAAGTAAAGTAAAGTATCAGTTTGTACGGTACATTCTTTCTTTTTTTGGAATATTTTGTGTTCCTGTGGAAATTATCCTTGTACAACTTTGTTTTCGATGCCTGACCGAATAAACTAAACTAAACTAAAAAAACACATGTCATTAATTCATTCACTTCATACACGGTGGTGATACACTTCTACTGTAGCCACATCTGCCCTGAGGCACTCTGACAGAAGCGAGACATCCAGTATGTGCCATTGGGAAGATATTGTCCCCAAACAGGGGTGTGTGTGTCTGTCTGTGTCAGTGCCCCTGTGTCAGAACCTCTGTGTGCCTTTGTATGTCTGTGTGTGTGTGTCTGTGTTAGTGCATCTGTGTGTATGTATATACACAATACAATACAATTTATTCTTGTATAGCCCTAGGTCACAACAGAAGTCATCTCAGAGGACTTAACAAAACCATTGAAATCACCAACACAGGTCAGAGAATCAACAGTTCAGACACATGGAGAATATAAAGCACACACAGAAGAAAATGTCCATACATGTTGTAGAATGCTAAAGTGTCCTGATCATCACCAATCCTTTCTGTTGGACACTAACTGTCCAACAAGACCCTCCTGCATCCACAAGGAAAAACTCTTAAAAAACCCAGTGGGAAAAAGTGAGAAACCTTGGAGGAGAACTAGGGAAACCCACAGGGAGGGAGACCCATATGAGAAAGGGATCCGCTCCTCCGGACGGACAGGCTAATGATCTAGGACCTAAGCTAGCTACAGAACGTGGACCAGTGGCTGCTGAACGTGGACAGGTCCGGTGCAGGACTGAAGCACTCCCAGGCGGGTCGGGCCAGGAGTATATGTGTGTGTGTGTGTATCTGTGTGTGCGAACATGTCTGTGTGTGTGTGTGTGTGTGCGCGAACATGTGTGTTTATGAATGTGTTTGTGTGCACATGTGTAGATGAGTGTGTGTGTGTGTGCGTGCATGTGTGTTTGCGAACATGTGTGTTTGTGCATGTGTGTGTGTGCATATGTGTGTGTGCTGTGTGTAGAGGAGTGTGTGTACACATGTGTGATTACGTACATGTACG